AAATGTCTTAGCATTTATTCAGGTGACACAAGTCTTTCAGGGTCTGTTGCAATGGCAAAAAAAGAAACCAATGATGGATACTCAAGAGTTTTGGAGATGGACTCCTTCTTATCATTTGTATGCTAGTTTTTTATTATATGAAGCTAGAAACTGGTTTGCCAAAGGATGTATGTCTAGTCCTACTGAGGATTACAATCATATAGAAAAATACTATCAAGTGCTTAAGAGTATCTATAGATCAATTGTTATTTTTTTTATTAGATGTTCAAGATGGTAGTATCTTTTGCCACATCCAGTTATTCTTGACAAGAACCTTGAGATAGATTGGTCTCAGAGGCCCAAAGCTGTGTTCAATAGCTGTTTCATTGCTGAAAGTAGTTTTAAACCCAAGTCCTCATCATTCTCATCTAGCACCTTAAACATTTTACCATGTGCAAACAGCATCAAGGGCCTATTAGAATTGATTCATTTTCTGAGGTTTTGCAATACACTAGTCTCTAACTCTCTTGAAATGGACACTTAATATTAGAACCATCATTAAAAAGGCACAACAAAGAATGTTCTTCCTGAGTCAACTCAGGAAGTTCAAACTGCCCCACGAGCTATTGATACAGTTTTATAGAAGAATTACAGGTAATCCTTGAGTTACAACAGTTCACTTAGGAACTGTTCAAAGTTATGACATAACCTCTACAATACTTATGACACAGTCCTGAAGTTACGAATGTTGCAGCACCACAACAGTCATTCATCCTTATGAACGACAGCAGAGGCACTGTAACATTTTCCCTGCCTATTTCCTCCCACCCTCGCCGGATCTCCACAGGCACTGGGCCTGTGAATACTCACCTTGCAAAGATCTAGCAAGCCTTTGTTTTCTTAACCTGCTTACTGCTTCAGGCCTTTGGTGCATTCACAGAGAATGGAGGCTTAAAGTACCGCAAGATCATGCGATATCGGTAGCGTGAGATCTCACATGATCTCAGCGTACTTTGGGCCTCTGTTCTCTGCAAACAAAGGCCTGGACGAGATCTGTGGATTTCCTCAAGGCCTTTGCCACTGAGAACAGAGCCCCGGAGGGACTTCCATTCTTGGCAGCAAAGACTTTTTGCAAATATAGGGCCATAATCTCTCATCCCTGTAGGCCTCAGCAAATCTTTGCTCAAGGCGAGAGGCTGGAAAGCTCCCTTGATCATCGAGATCTCCATAAGATAAGTGACCTGGTCAGGCAGGATGGAGAGGGGAGGAGGAAGCATGAAGTATCTCAGTGGATCGGGGGAGGCCTTGGGTGGTCAAAGCACTATGCTCCCCTATGGCCTTCCCCACCCTGAGATACCTTGTGTATTCAATGACCCGCACATTCAATTAGTGGATGCGTAGGCAAAAGTAGGGAGTGATCACGTTCAAGTTATGTGATTTACTCCTATGAATCCTTGGGTTATGAATGTAATTGGCAAGCGCCATTACATTTGTTACTTGAGGATTAGCTGTACTGAATCTGTCATTTGTTCTTCTATATTTGTTCTTATCAGGAAGGTGCTGCAGGGCATTGCATGCCAAAACAACTAGACAAGGACAGTTTTTCCTTCATGCCACCACTCTGCTGAATACCTATAGTAATTCTCACAATTCTGCCTAAAGTTTACGTGTATTTATCCATTTAATATGGCTGTAGTATTATTATTTACCCTTATTATCTTTTTTACTCCCATCTTTTATTGGTATTATGATGATGATGATGGATTATCATTATTCATAATGCTTTGCATGTATATTGGGAGCTTCTGCACAAATTCCTTATGTATCTAATCACACTTGGCCAAATAACGTATTCGATTCGATTTGATTCGATTCAATTCAATTCGATCAAAGAGGTTGGACTCACGCAACATATTAAGGCACAAAATTGGTTTTTTTTTAAAAATCAAGCTTAGCATTCTAGGTAGTTGCAACTGCTAAGTCTTTGAGCAGATTAAACATGTATTTATGTATTTTGATGCTGCCCAAATGTGGGCTGTTCACAAAAAATGTTATAGAAATACAGGAAGGAATTTTAGTTTTGCCCTCCTTTAATGTAAGGCAAATATATACATGCATGTGTGTGTGTGTGTGTGTGTGTGTGTGTGTATTTATGTATATATATCAGGGTGGAAATAATCGATTTTTTAAAAAAAAAATAAAATTGGATTTTTTAATTTAAATCGGATTTTTTTGTTTTTTATCAAATTTATTTTAATAAAATGCTTTTGGATTAAAAATCTATCTAAATATAGTTTTCTATTTAAAATACATTAATAATTTAGTATATTCAGCATGAAATGGAGTTTAGTTATGTAGCATGAGGCTGTATATTCTGCAATATTTACATTTTTGGTAAACTCATTCAATGAATCCAAGCTCTGCAAGCTGAGATAACATGCACTGCATTGATGCATTCACACAATTTCACAGTAACCATGAGATAAATCATAAAACAAAGTTCAGAAATATTCCTTTATCCCATTGTTTTGCAAATCTATGTACACTACAAACTGTATGATTGTTTGAAGAGAAATGCATCTTACCAGGCTCTAAGTGTTTTAATTAAATAAAAGAATTTGAGTAGTTCTCCAATTGTGTGTGATTCACCTATTAACGTAAACTCAGTTCTGATATCATTGTTTTACTAACCTGACAGCTTATTATTCTAAATAGGAAACCTTCATTTTGTTTCCAAATAATAATATTAAAAATTCTAACTACCAGCAAGAATGAGTCCTTATATTTAAAGAGCACCTGTCATTTCAGATCCATCATGTAAGCGCCTGTTAGCGGGCATTCACTCACCTGCTGCCCGCTACATCTCTCACCTTGTGTCACTGCAGCATCACCAGCCGCCCCATTAAAGTGAATAGGACTGTCAGTGAGTCAACAGCGGGTCAGAGGAGGAGCCACTGTGGGACAGAGATGACAGTTGCTCTTTAAAAATTATGATTTAAATCGAATTGATTTAAATTAAACCTTTTTACTAGTGATTTAAATCAAATCTACCCTGATAGATATATGTGTGTGTGTGTGTGTGTGTGTATTGGGTGAGGCACCCAGTCTACCAAATATAAATCAGTCTGTTCAAAGTCAGTCAATAGACGTGAGCACCAGGGAATACAATAAATAATTTAATAATAATAATTTAGAAATAAAAGTTTTTAAGAATATTAAAAACCTTTAAAACACATAGAAATCAATAAAAGTGCCTAGCTTTCGTCGGCATCTACCGACATCTTCAGGGCTTAGAATGCTGGTCAATGGGAAAGTCCCTTTATAGCTTTAATTAGGGCGTGTGCATGACTCTTCGATCTCGTCACTGGGCCGGTTATACTAGAACGTACTCCAGGCACCGAGTTCTTACTAGAAGTTGTCCTTCCCACACAATCCGTATCAGTGTAAGTAATAGCACTGATACGGATTGTGTGGGAAGGACAACTTCTAGTAAGAACTCGGTGCCTGGAGTACATTCTAGTATAACCGGCCCAGTGACGAGATCGAAGAGTCGTGCACACGCCCTAATTAAACCTATAAAGGGACTTTCCCATTGATCAGCATTCTAAGCCCTGAAGATGTCGGTAGATGCAGACGAAAGCTAGGCACTTTTATTGATTTCTATGTGTTTTAAAGGTTTTTAATATTCTTAAGAACTTTTATTTCTAAATTATTATTATTAAATTATTTATTGTATTCCCTGGTGCTCACGTCTATTGACTGACTTTAAACATGGATATACCCGGGGATCACATTTTTAAAGTAATTTCAGATATATATATATATGTGTGTGTGTGTGTGTGTGTGTGTGATTACCAGTTAAAAGCAAGTGAAGTGGCAGAAGAGAGACAGAGTAGTTTTTCACCAACCTCTTGATGCATTTCTATTGAAGTGCTAGTTACCTTAACATTTTTGCAAATGCAAATTAAAGCAGCCATTTTGCTAGATGAATTTACAGTGCTTTGTTTGTTTATCACATAAAACTGATTGTCCCCATTTACATGTGTCAAAAAAAGGGATGGTCTTTTATAGTTTAGTAAATTACGTAATTTATTCCATCCCCTTTAATATTTCAGATTCACAAAGCAGTGTACTGGGGAAACAAAATATTAGAAAAAATATATTTAAAGGATGATCCTGGCATGAAAGTTAAACTTCACAGATAAATTCCTCCTGGCAACAAAATCTATTCTAGAAAATATTTGGCAAGACATTTTAAGCACTCTTTGTTTTAGCTGTCCTTAGAAAGTTTTACCTCATCTTATCCAAATTCATTGAAATAAATTTTGTTCCCATTGTTTGGTGTCTAAAATGAGAGACACTGAAATTTAACCCTATGGGTTAACAAGTTTATGTAATTTAGAAACACATTTTAGGACAGAAATGCCAGGAAGGAAATTAAATTCTTCAGTATTCAAGAGTATCAAATATTTTCATTCCTAGACATCCAATTATCTGGAATTCTCTCAGTTTTATCAGTTTTACAGTTAATGCATTAGTTTTTGAGTGACCACTTCACTTAATGATCAAATTGCTGGTCCTAGTTGTGGTCACTAAATGAAAACTATCTATACTCTTTGGAAAATGATGGAAACTGCATATTACTTGGAGATCTAATTATGATTCACAGCCTAGCAGATGGTTACATTGATTGATCCATGATTTCCACTTGCCCTTTTTTTCTGTTTCTCAGTTGTAATTTGGTTTTTAATGGGGCTTTTGGTTAAAGAGGATTATTATATTTTTACTAATTCTTGGATTTTGTTTATTGGTTGTTTTTTGTTATGTGAGACATCCAGAATCACAAATGTGAGATGGGCGGCTATACAAATTGATTGAATATATAAATAAACATTATCAGAAGCATTAATTTCCATGGCCAATGAGCCAGGTTTAATGAATTACACACTAATCATTTACTCAAAATCAGAACATTTTCACATCTGTATTATTCATTCATGTCTTTTAAATTCTATTTCCAGGTTTTCAGCACTTATTCCAATGAGGAATATGACCGTCGAAATGAAGATGTTGATCCTATGGCTGCCTCAGCAGAGTATGAACTTGAAAAAAGAGTGGAAAGGCTGGATCTTTTTCCTGTGGAACTGGAGAAAGGTAATAGGAAAATGTGTTTGGAAATGAATTTTCCTTTTCAGAACTTGCAAAAATGGGATGCTGTTTACAGGAATCAAGAAAGAACATAAGGTATTTTGATCAGATTTCTGCAGCACGAGCCCTTCTTTTGATTTTCCACACATATTTTAAGAATAGGTCACTATAAGCTAGTTGTCTCTGAGATGGGCCTTATTTTCAACTTGCTGCATATTTCGCTCATCATCTTTAACTGCTTCCCCCAATCATTTCCTTTTATCTTCTTGTCCTTCTCCTATCAGTTATTTTCCCCTTAGGAATGGCATAGGAAAAGCCACAAGAAAAAATAAGCTGCTATGGCAGATATAGGCTATTTTTGTTCACAGGGCTGTAAAGGCCCTCAGCCTAATTTTTAAAAACATGTTCAGCAAGAAATCAATTTAGATCTTTGATAAGACATATCTGTCTTTTCCTGCAGAAGAGAATAGCAAAAGAAAGAAAACACTGGGTTTAAAATACAATGTGGCTTGAATCATAATCATGCTAAACCCTAAACCTAAGTGAATAAAGTTCTCTTTCTGTGTTTATATAACATTTTATGCCCAGAAAAAATAGGCAGAAGTGTTGCATATCATGAAATCCTAGTCTATATACCATGCTAAGAGATGACTGACTTTCAACAACAAGATGAATCACAAACTATGCATTTTTATCTAGTCTCCATCTAAGTTTGACTATGGTTTCACCCAGTGCTTGGTTCCTTCTGACTCACCATGTGCCTTGCAACATTACCCCTGAACAGTCCTAGATAGAGACTGCTCCTCTTTGTACTAAGGATCATTATCAATTTAAGATTGGTTTTTTTTTCTCCATTAGTTTGGTCTTCTTTATATTTAATTGTAGTCCCATTTTTCACTATATTCCTTGACTTTTATAACTAGAATTTGCAATTCAATTGCATTTTCAGCTATCATAGTAGTGATAGCATACCACAGATTGGTGTTTTTTCCCTCCAGCTTTAAAACTTCACTGATCTTATTCCAGTCAGCTTCTCTTAATATAGGTCAGTGGTGGCGAACCTATGGCACGCGTGCCAGAGGCGGTACGCGGAGCCCTCTCTGTGGGCACATGCCATCGCGCCAGCACATGTCTCTAAAAGTTCGCCATCACTGGCCTAAGGCCAGCCAGCCTGGAGCCACCATTGGGGAGTCCACCATCCCATCCACCAGAGACCCCCTGGATCTCCCTCAACCCTGCCCGGTTCCCACAGGTGTCCCTCCCCATAAGCAACATCAAAGTGGCCATGCTTACCCCGGCCATGCTCACCCAATCTGCCATGACTACTGCAGCCACATCCATCCAGTGGCCATGCCCAACCAGTCTGCCAAACCCACTGTAGCTGCACCCGCCGAGTGGGCAACACCCACCCGGCACCCGGCGATACATAAGTTGGTTTTGGGTTGCAGTTTGGGCACTTGGTCTCTAAAAGGTTTGCCATCACTGATATAGGTTGACTGGATGCTTAGAGACTGTTCAGAATTGCAACAAATCCCCCCCCCTCCAAAAAGCTACTTACAACCCACTTTTGAAATTCTGATGTTCTCCCCATCCAGTCTTTTGAATGTATTTTGGGCATTTATAGCACTCCACAGCCACATGACTGATTTACGAGATCTTTTCCAGAAACCAGTATTTTATTGTGGTTTGTGGCAAAAACTGACACACAGTGAACAGTGATTCTTTTAACAACCATCCTGTTTGCTTTCTTTCACAATATTTTTTTTATTTTATTCAGAAAGTTAAAATACAAGTTCCAAAAAAGAAAAAAAGAAATTTTACAAAAAGAAAACAAAATTAGATACTTAAAAATGTGCAATGGAAAAGACAAAATATAAAAACACATATACATATATTATGCCCCCCTAGTTGAATAGTGATAAGTATTTTGCAGCAATAATAGTTTCCCCTCCTTGCAAAGCACTTCTACAATTTATATACTTCTACATATCTATTTGCAACCAATTTAACCTGTCATGTATCTACTATATATAAGAAAAGGTACTTAACAGGTAAACCAACAGCAAAGTTAAACTTCAAAGCCCTCTGTTAACAATCGATTATTATATTTAACTCATAGAAAGTCTACAGGGGCTTCTTACCTACCACAAATCATTGCAATTATTATCCCTGATCCATCTAGGTTGATTGTTGTTATCCTTGTTTGATTCTTAATAATAAAACTTTTCCTTAAAATTTTGTTTGGGGCCTTTCCCAACAATTGCATCTCATTTCCCCTTGGAGAATGGATTTGACAAGAGATGCTGTGTTTTTATTTACAGGGAGACTTTCTGAACAAGGGTACACCATGTTTGTTTTGCTCACATTTGTTTAACAACCACTGCAAAAAATGTTATAAAATTGGATCTGGTCACATGGTGACCTGCTTTATGATTATCATAACCTACCACCGTAATTGCCAGGCTCAGTTGCAGTTATAAACTGAGGACTACCTGTATTTTTCCAGCATATTGACTGAATAAATAAAGGAAGAGTCTATAGCGTTGTCTCATTTCTTTGCCAACCTGGAGCCGGTCTGTTTCACCATGTTCTATCCATACTGTGACTTTCTGACCTATACATTGGTTTTTCATGAGGACAGTGAAATTTTCTGGGAATCCTGTTTTCTGAGCATATTCCACAGCTTAATATGGTTGGCACAATCAACGGCCTTTCTATAATCAATGAAGTACATACTGACTTCTTTTTGATATTCTTTAGCTTTCTCAATTATACAGCATACATCAGCAATAATATTGCATGTTCCTCTTCCTTCTCTAAAGCCAGTTTGAACATCTGGCATCTCTTTTTCTTCACATAGAGCTCTAATTTGTGTTGGATACTCTAAGCATTAGTTTGCTAGCTTGTGAAATTAAGAATATTATATAATAGTGTGCACACTCTTTTAAGTCCCCTTTTTCATATTGTAATATAGATTTACCACTTCCAATTTCATAGCTACTATGTCATTCTCCAATTTTCCAAGATACTTTAGTTGGGACCTTTACTGATTCCTTTTCTGTTGCCTGCCATCTTTCTGTAGATATTTTTTCAATTCCTGTAGCCTTATGACTTAGTAATGATTGAAGTGCTGCTCCCACTTCATCTTCTAGTACTAGAGTTTCTTGTAAGTGGGGAATAACTACTAAGCTATATTGGGTGTTATGAGGCCCAAACCAAAAATGACATAGCAAAATCCAATCTAGTCCAATCCTTTATTTGCTTATACTTAATTGACAGAATCTTGCTGAACTAAAGCTGTAACTTTTTAACCTACTAGATGTATTCTGAGATATTCTAGAATGTGGCTAACCTAAACCTCTTGCCCTCTCCCCCATCCATTTTGGGACTGCACAGTGTCTTAATCTTGACCTTTCTTTGATGAGATTTACTGCCTTCTCCCTGAAAAAGCTCTGTATTGTCTAAACTTCTGTCCACTAATTTTCCTGATGCACATTCCCTCACAGATATTGGCATCTTGACTGTACAGTATTTCAGTAAATACCTCCTATCTTTGATCTCCTTTGTTATTGTCGATTGGCGTTCTTTAAAGTACCACATTGAGACTGGAATCTCCTTCTAGGTTTAGACATCTTTAGAAACACCTTCCTTATTTTTCCATGTTTCTTTTCATCTTTAGTGTCTTTACAGATGTTGTTGTAATACTGCTTCTTGTCTCTTCTGACAGCTCCCTGAAACTCTTTGTAAAGCTTCTTCCTGAGATTTTTATCTTTCTTGGTTTAGTTTCTCTTCTCCTCTTGCTAATTTGTTCTGGCATCTAGTTTGCTTTCTTCTGTTTCTCCATCTTTGGCAGTCCCTTTTCAAATTTATTCTTCTTTCAGTTCATTTCCCAATTCTTTGGTTCTCTAATGAAGTTCAGAACTTAAAATAAATTCCTATTGTTTTCCTTGAAAATGATTCGTGTAGTTTTACCACATATTGTGGAAACTGGTTGGCTTTCTTCTTTCTTACGTATGTGTTTTTTTGGTCAATTCCACAGCCAGCTCCTGTTCATGTCTTTAATGCTATAAGTGAGCTTGTTCACCTTCTTTTAGTAATAATATAGTCAATTTGTCTTCTGTATTCTCCATCTGGAGAGATCGTATACAGAGGAATTGTTTTGATTGTTTTGAAGACAGTATTAGCTACGAAGAAGTAATTGGAATATCTGAAATTGATAAGTCAGTTTCATGCTTTTCAATTTCTTAAGCCATATAGCCCAACTAATAATCCAACTATACCCTTTTCTTTAATATTTCCAACTTTGGCATTCCACCTCTTGATTTGATAGTCTGTCAATTTCAAATTGAACTTGATCATAAAATTCATTGGCCACCTCTTATTCTGCATAAACATTTGGAACATAAAGTTGAAGGGTCATCATATTAAAGGGCTGTCCATAAATTCTGATTGATAATATATGGCCATTGATTGAATTGCAGCCAAGTATTGTTCTTGCTATACTTTTCCTAACTATAAAAACAATGTCACTTTGATTTTAATGTCCTGAATAATAAAATGTCCAGTCCTAGACTCTATTAATTGATACCTAAAGTATCAATTTTATTTCATCTTTCATTGTAATGGAATGTGTGGATAACCTTGGGGAATGAAGGAAAGAGATTCTGCCTAGGAAACAATTAGAAAAGAGAGGCAGGATTCCCCAGGGACTTAATGGTCAGAGAAAAAAATTTAGGAAGGACCCACCCTAATAGACCAAACAGTTAAAAATGGTGGCAGGAAATTTCTACTTTCAAGCTTGCAAGTAGACATGATTCTGTTGATAAAAACTTACAATAAAGTAGATGTTGTTAATGTAGACTTACAATAAAGTAGAATTAGCTCATCTAGTTATGTTTCCTGCCTGGTTTACCTGGGAGGGCTGATATTCACTGAGTTGAGCTTTCCAATATTCATGCTTCATACGTTCCATGTCTACAAAGTAATTCTGACTGCAGCTTCTGATTTTCTTTTCCTGCATGGTAACATTAGGAACTCAATGTCCCAAAGGCTTTAATCTAGCCACATTATAAAGGCCATTAGTATTCTGAAAGTTCCTTGGCCATTCCTAAGTAGTGTGTTGAATGTCATCTGACCTGAGTGCACATCATATGGCATTATATTATTTTATATTTTATATTCATGTGGTTTTCTTGATAAAAATATAGGGATGGTTTACAATTGCCATAGTATGACTTGATACCTTTACCATTGCACTGAAATGATCATCTGTCTCTAGCTTCTTCCTATATAACTGCTTGTCTGATATAGGTGTCTGCTTTTTTTAGCTGGGCACGTGTAGTGACCTTCATCCTTGGGTGATGCTGTTGGAAATATATATTCTAAATTCTGTTTATGGATTCTATGGTGAAAATGGACAAAAATGATCTGATGATTTCTCCATTTGTTGATTAAGAAGGGATAAATATAGGAAGAAGGGAACTATAATGTAATTTCAAAGGGGAGAAATGATAAAGTAATAAGGAAAATTAGAAGAAGCATTCTTTTTTCTTTTTCTTTATCTGTACTATTTTCTTTATCTGCACTTTTTCATTTTCTACTCTCTTTATATACACTTTATTATTTATCTTTTAATTGTTTAAAAACTATTTTCCCCTTTTCTCTTCCACCCTTTCCCTTCCCATGATAATGAGCCAGCCCAGCAGTAATGGCAGGGGGAGGGATTGAACCATAAGCAAAAGAAATGATCTGATATTGCACAAGACACTAAGTCCATTCTCTCCCCCCCCCAAATCAATCAATCAATTAGAGTTACAATAAAACTTAGCATGTTGTACGTACATATATAGCTGCTAGATTTTTAACTGACCTGATTAAACATGTTGAATGATCACAGTCAATTTCTCTTTAAAGAGCCAGGAAGAATTTCCCTCTAACTGATGCGGAAATTTGTAGTAGCAGGTTTCATTGGATTTATTATCAGATTCTGGTAACCTTCAGACTTGACAGCTCATATTTTAATTCAAATCACCTCTTCCTTGTCTTATGCAGATTCTGAGGGTCTTGGGATCAGTATTATTGGAATGGGGGCTGGAGCTGATATGGGTCTAGAAAAGCTTGGCATATTTGTCAAGACTGTGACAGAAGGAGGAGCAGCTCATCGAGATGGCAGGTCAGTAGGACTGATATTACATTGGGAATGAAGCTTATCTTGGAACAAGAATATACCAGAACAAGAACTCTTACTTTATTGATCATAATCGATCTCTGTTTGCTGTAGAAGAGATGGTTAAAATCGTAGATTTCTTCCTTGTTTTCTGTAAAAAAATTGACAAATCTTTTCCTTCCTAAAAGCTCAGGATCATAAGATGTCGCAACATAAGATTAAAAACTCACCTCCCATATATTATATTTGTATCATCATTGTCGATGTAGCATTCTGTTAACATAATACCAGAGTGAAATAATTTTGCTGAAAAATTCAAAGTTTTCTCTTTGACAGGTAGTGAAAAATTGTACTAACCCTGATTAAGGAACATTAGGCTCTCTTTTTCCAACCAGGATTTATTTTGACTGTTTTCCCTCAAAAGCTGAAAGGGGGAACACATAAAAATAAGCTCCCCTTTTACTATATCTATGTGAGTCTACTTTTTTATTCTTCTATTCTGCAGGCAAACCTTTCAGGTGCTGGGCATATTCTTATAATGTGAATGTAAGCACTAAGAATTTTACAGAGTGATTTATTCAGAAATAGGGTTTATTATGTTTGACAGGAGTTAGGCTTTAATCCTCCACTCATTTGCATAGGAACAGTCAATAAGATTTATGTCTGAGTAAGCACATAGAATTCTGTTCTATGTTTTAATAAATTGCCAAGTTTAAGACTGTTACCTTAGTTTATGTGTAATATTTCCTAATGAAATACAAAGAAGCTAGCATAAAAAGCAATAATTGCTTCTAGAATTAGAAAAGGCTTTTAGTCAGTTTCTTCTATTTTTACAGGTAGTCCTCAACTTACAACCACAATTGAGCCCAAACTTTCTGATGTTAAGTTGTTTTGCTCCATTTTATTACCTTTCTTAGTTATTAAGTTGTTAAATTGAATCATTGCAGTTGTTAATTTAATAACACAGTTGTTAAATGAATCTGGCTTTCCCATTGACTTTGTGTGTCAGAAGGTTGCAAAATAGGATCACATGAGCCAAGGACACACCATAATTAGCATAAATATGAGCCAGTTGCCAAGAGTCTGAATTTTGATCACGTGACCATGGGGATGCTACAATGGTCAGAAGTGTGAAAAATGGTCATAAGTCATTTTTTTTCAATGCCAATGTAACTTCGAAAGGTCATTAAACGAACTGTTGTAAGTCGAGGCCTATGTGTATATGCACATTACAGCAGTAGGAGAAGTAGCTCAAAATGATGACATGGTTTGTTTTATATTGGCCTTTTTGACATTTCATTCCAGTTCTTCTCTAAAAATAAATTTATTAATTAAGCATAGGATTGATTTTCTTTTAATAAATATCAGTGATAGCTGTTTCTCTCCATATATGCACATGCAAATACAGTGCATTCAGAGAGTATTCAGACCTCTTCACTTTTGTCAATTTTGTTATGCTGCAGCCTGATTCTATAGTTGTTGGAATTCATTTTTTCCTCATTAATCAACACTCAGTAACCCATAATGACAAACTGAAAATAGAATTTTAGAAATGTCTGTATATTTATTAAAAAGAAAAAACTGAAATATAACATAGCATAAGTATTCAGATCCTTTGCAACAACATTTGAAATTTATCTCAGCTGCCTCCCAGTTCTCCTGATCATTGCTGACATGTTTCTACATCTTGATTAGAGTCTACCTGTGGTAAATTAAATTAATTGGACATGATTTGGAAAGGCACACACCTTTATATAGGCATCCTCACAGGGACAACTCTGTAAATGTCTTAAAGTAGCCCAGCCAGAAACCTGATTTGAAAATGGCTGTCCACTGATGGTCGCCATCCAACCTGACTGAGCTTGAGAGGAATTGCAAGGAAAAATGACAGAAAATCCACCAATCCAAGTATGCAAGCTTGTCACGTCATACCCAAAAAGACTTAAGGCTGTAGCTGTTGCCAAAGGTGCTTCAACAAAGTAATGAGTGAAGCATTACTTATGCCAATATCATATTTCAGTTTTTTTCTTTTTAATAAATTTACAGACATTTCTACAATTCTATTTTCACTGTCATTGTGGGGTACTGAGTGTAGATTAATGAGAAAAAAATGAATTTCAACAACTGTAGAATCAGGTTGCAACATAACAAAGCTGACAAAAGAGAAGGGGGAGTCAGAGACTTCCGGTTTGATATCGTGACCTGATGGATCCAGGAAAACGGGGCTCCGTCTTCCGTGTTTGATTTCATCCCACTGGGGACCCTAAAAAGGGTTGAAAGTCACCCCGGAGAGGCGATGAAAGAGGAGGGGCTCCTTGTTGATCACAGGAGGGTGGCGGCTCTTCCGTTCGATCTGAGGAAGCCCTCCAAACCAGCAGGAGAAAGACTGGCTACATTCATGTGGCCAGTCAGAAGCTGCTGACACCAAAGAAAATAAACATTAACAAGCAACTTTCAAGCAATGTGGATGGAACTGGGTGAGACCCTATCTTCTCTTTACGACTTTAAGATTTTTTCTTGGAAAAAAACCTCCCAAAGCAAAGAATCCTACCCGAGGAGAGAGGGAAGGGGAATTTCCACCCCATTCCCTTAGGAAAAGAAAAAAGAGAATGAATTGCTTGGGGGAAAAACAGAGAAAATTACAAGATTAATTTGGAATCAATACATATATATAGCTTTGAAATTTGGGGACTAAAAGTGCTTTTGAGATTTTTTTGTTTGAAAAGCTTGTAATATTAGTTTGGACTTAAAAAGCTGGAAGATGGCATCAACGACATCTAGTGGCAAACCATGGCACTACAATTTATTATGTTTAAGGGAAACTTGGCTTGAAGCCCAGACCCAGATAAGACTTGTCATTGGAAACTTTCACTTTTCTAGACTGCAGCTGGGAAAAGGGGGGAAAAAACTTGGGCTGCTTATCTGTGTGGCAGATACGATAAACTATTTTGAAACTGGCCTGCCTGGACCACGAATGTAAATACGAACTGACTTTTAGAGCTGTGTCGTGGAGCTATTTACCTGTAGAAGAAACATGCATTATGGATTGAGATGATGGAATACTTTGGATTATAAACCTTTGACTGGTAAACAACTTTTAATTGCTTTTTTCTCTCTGGATAAAAAAGACATGTTTTTCATTGGACAGAAAAAATTGAATTTTGCTTCTATTTGCTTAGGGGAGGCTTAAGGATGGACTGGTATGCTGGCTGGATAACTTGGAGCTCAAATGATAATTGACTCAAACTTTTTAAATCCCTAAATAGATTGGACTATAGAGACCACATATAAAAACAAAATGGATCTTCCATACTCAGCTTTAAATGTTAAAAAATCATCTCTAACACTTATCTCCAAAGTCCCCAGCTTGACATATCAACAAGAAAATGTTGACAAAGCTCAGAAGGAAATTCTTTCTGTGTTAAAATTAATACAAGAGACAATTGCCTTAGCTCATGAAGAGACTAAAAATAACACAAAGGAGATAAAAGAACAATTTTCTAATCTAATTCCACAAATTCAGAAAATGACTATAAAGAAAGAACTAGTAACCCAGAAAATTGAAGGAAAATTAGAGGAAGCGGATCCAAAGATGGAGGACCTAAAAGAAGGAATTAACAAACAGACTCAGATAAACAAAGAATTGGAAGACGTAGCGATAATACTGGAAACGGAAAAGACATCTTACCTGTCAAGATCTCAGAACACTCTTGAGGATAAGGAAGAAGAGCCGATTGAATGGAAGATAAAGCTGTTAGGAGAATTGTGGGAAATTGGAAAAGGAGGGAGCAGTTTAATGAATATCAGTGGGCTCGATCTTCCAAAAATACTTTAACCAAATTGTTTTACTTATTCTAAACAATATACATAAAAATAGAGGAAGAACTACTTGATGATTCAAAGACATTGACCTGGAAAGTTAGTTGGCAAAGGAAGAAAGCTAGAGTAAGATTGAAGAAAATAGGGGTCCTGACCCATTAGATGGGATATCATACTATTAAAGAGATGTTTGAGTATGGCTAAGAGTATAGATAATTGTTAGAAATAGAAGTGTTATTAGAAATAGAAAGATAGGATTTATAACTAGAATTTTCATTTTTGTATGAGTAGGGAAATATAAAAATGTTAAGAGGGTTTGAACAAGGGAAGCCTTTGGTTGCCCAAATATAATTTATTATGAGAAAAGTATAAGCGATAGAGATACTTTGAATACTGATGGGAAATCAAAATAAAAAAAAACGGGAAAAACAAGATATTGATTGAACAAATGGATATTAAGTGCAAATGCAATCGAGATATGTTTTGGTTAGAAAAGATATTTTAAACTGACACTACTGGTATTATATATAATATTAGAAAAATGTAACAAAGATGCTGATATTCAATTGTATATGTATTAACAGCAATAAGAATCGTATTTGCCTAGTATAGAAAATGTATAACATCGGAAGAAGAAAGGAAGCACTGGATGGTGTAGTATTGTATCTAGATTAAGAAAGTTAATATGTACCACTGAATTACTGATAGACCCAGACTCACATTGCTTATTAAGTACTTATGATTGTAAAACTAGAAAATTAATAAAATATTTATTTTAAAAAAGTGAAGGGGGTCTGAATACTTTCTGAATGCACTGTATTACTGCAGAACATGAAACATTAGGATTGTGGTTCAAATCTGGAAAAGCTGCACCCCTCTGTACTTCATTAGAAGAGCTGAAGCATTAAAGAGCTGAAGCAAATAGCCCAATAAAATGTAATAAGAGGTTATATTTGCCACTTAGAACAGCAGGCAGGTTCCAACATCAAAGCAATTTAGTTTAAGTTGACCATATTTCACATATCAAATCAAAAGATGTTTCTCATCTCTCTCTCCACACATTGGTAGGAAAATCAAGGGAAATTTAGTTATTTTTAAATGTGGTTCTCATTTACCAAGGACAAAAGCACATAATAGTAACTAATAAACTGAATGTGATCAATGCGGATCATATAGGGAAGCCCTTAGAATTTTATTTAGAAACCCAGATTGCATAGAAATACCTTCAAATGTAGCCCTCCAAAGCTATCTAGCTCATTTATTATTTGTTATATTTTATAGGAGTATCTAAGCATCTGTGTTCCCATTCTCATAACAGATCATGAACATGTCAAAAACAAATTATAAATGGAAACATTAAATAGAAACAGTGTTATGCAACAAAATGCAGCCTTTGTTCCTAAAGAATTGTTAGGAAGGCTAGCTACATCTTATATTGCAGCTGTAGTTTCAACAGCTCATTTTCCACTTCAAACTGTCCTTGGAGAATACAGTTTGCATTAGAAAAAAAATATGCTTTAACCCTTCACCTGGCAGTTGATTTGCTCTTGAAAATCTTGTCCAAATGCTTCCTATTTACAATATTTTAGTCCCAATCACATTGTAAACAATTTGGAATCCTATGGAAAGAACAATTGAGAAGGGAATATTCAGCAAAAAAGTAGAAGGCAGAAGAAGGATTAAACACTTCTTTGTGGGAATTTAAATTTCTAATTTTGCTAATTCTCTAAAGGTTAAAAGAGTGTTTTTTTATTATTCTGCAGTACTTAATTTGCTAAGGTTTAGCTGTCAGTGCTATAAATCAGGTGGGGAACCTATGATGTTCTAGGTGTAAAGGAATTCCCACCAGTCAATAGTGAGAGATTGAAATTTAAATTCAATATTTTGAGGACCACCAGTCATTCATTCCTACTATCTATTTTTGTATTATGAAATTTAACTGGTCTTGCCATGCTTATTACACTAATTATTGACTCAGGTTGACTCAGCCTTCCATCCTTCTGAGGTCAATAAAATGAGGACCCAGATTATTGTGGGCAATAAGCTGACTTTGTAAAACTGCTTAGAGAGGGCTGTAAAAAGCACTGTGAAGCAGTATATAAGTCTAAGTGGTATTGCTATTGAATTTGTATCCACTGCTGTACTCATTTTATTTAATTGCTATATTTTAAGCTCATAATAGAAGATTATAGACTTCATTCATCCAAAATAATCTGATGTAACATTATTATCTGATGGCAATTGTAAATAGAAACTAAAATGCTTAAGGAAGAAAGGAAAATACCAGTATTAACTTCAGGTATATATAACTGAGTGGTAAATTATTTGAATTCAAATAAAAGAGAATATTTGTAGTATAAGTTTGAACTATAGCGTTCTTTGAATTCTCTGAGCTGGTTTGTTTTTTCATTCCCCAACTAGGGAATATCAAGAGCATAAGGCATGTGTGAGCCCCCCTACAAGGGATGAAAAAAGCAGGGTGATGATCCCAGCAGCAGCACAAATGAAACCTCACCTCTTTTCTGTGTGTCTGTGATGTGATATCCATGTATAAAAGGAGTTGGATTTAATTGATATCTATGTATAAAAGGAGTTGGATTTAATTATGCTGCTTGGCTGCCATCCTCAGGTTTTTTAACACAGACATGAACTCTGCACATGTGGTGGGTTGGGCTGGACAGCATGGAACATAAGTTTTTCAGAATATAGGGCATTTTCCAGAACAATCACTACAGACTATCTGAAATTAAAATAGTTAATTTTAGTTAATAGTTAAGGAGAGGAATTATCAAAGAAATCATCTACTTGCTAGCTCTTCATTCCACTGCAGTCATCAGCTCTGCTTTTTGTGGAGGCATCATCAATCCATTTTTCCCCCAAAAGTCATGAACTTACATATCTCATAAAGAATGCCAATTAAATGCAAGATTCTTGTACAAACATTAAAGCTTCAATGTTTGCAAGACTGTGATAAGCACCTGAGCTTCAGTATTTGCAGGTTTGTGAGAAGAAGTTTTATTTTTTAAACAAAATGCTCATCAGCTAAATACTGATGGACAACAAATATATATTTAAGTTTCCATGTTCTCTGTTTACTGTAGGAGAAAAACTGATAGTAAAAATACTACAAAATATAGCAGACAAAAATGGGTTAAATAATGAAAATATATGAAATAATAGTAGAAATAATAAAAGTAATTGTACAGTACAAATAAGAAAAAGGATAGTTAAACCTAATATAGTAGTCCAGCACCATTCCTGTGTTTTCCTTTTCACAGAATGTAATGTGGGGAAGAATTAAAATATTATGTCACTACCATCAAAGTTACGGCGGAATAAAGAAATAACTGTTAGTTTTTTATGTAGTGTTTCAAAGTATGATAAAAAATTATCAGTAATCTTTTTCTTTCTATGAGTCTTTTAAAGGAAGGTCAAGTTGATCATTGTATAAACATTTTCCGTGATAAAAAAGTCATCTAGTTCTCTTTTGTGTGTCCTGTAGTTGCAACTGTTGCTATATATTAATCTAATTGAGGTTGACTTTGGGAGGCAATGATTCAGGTGGTCTAGAGCTGACCTTTAAGGATTGTTTTGGATTGTTTGAGGTGCCTCAGTTTTATGAGTATTATACCATTATTCTTCGTGTACTTCATTTACCCAGGGTGAAGCACTGTGAAGGGGTAGAATATAAGCTGGATTCAATATATTTTAAAGTTCCTATTAGTCTCCTAAGCAATTGACCTCTGAATTTGGCAGACCATTAATTTAAATAAAGAAGGAACTGCTATCTCTTTGCTGAACTGGAATGCTTCATTGTTGCCTGTATATTTTCATGCAACTGAACTATTCAGAAAGGAAGATAGGATGGGAGAGAAAAGCAGCTCTGCTACTAAATGCCAGCAGGGCTCCTGCATGCTGTCATGGCAACCAACATGGCTCCTTGCCCAGTACCAGAACACCAGCAAAATATAAACAGAGGCCTTCATGGGTGAAAGCTCAGTAGAATCTCAGAAAGTGCTCTGCACGTTGCACCCACCGAGGATCCTTTGTGCATTTCCTTCTCTACCTGATGTTCTTTTTAATTTTATAAAAAGGCTATAAGTTTTCTTCAAAATTGCCTGATCTCAGAGTGACACAAATAAAAATAACATTGTACTTCGTTTCACTGTCAAAAACTTGTGTAGAAATATGTGCATACTTTAGTGGATGAAATTTGGATGGAAGAATCCAAAATTCATGTCCCCAATTATCCATAAAGCTTATTGTGTAGCCCTGAGGAAATAAGAAAGCTAATTTGCAATCTAAACCAGATGAAGCTAAAGATAATATTCAACCCTTTAAATATAGGTAATCCCAACATAACGACTGATCACTTAGTGACTGTTCAAAGTTACGATGAACTTGAAAAAAGGTACGATCCATCCCTGAAGTTAGAACTGCCACATACCACTATCCCAGCGATAGGCAACCTTGGCTCTTTTATGACTCGTGGACTTCAACTCCCAGAATTCCTGAGCCAGCATAGCATAGCTGGCTTAGGAATTCTGGAAGTTGAAGTCCACGAGTCATAAAAGAGCCAAGGTTGCCTACCCCTGCACTATCCCACACAATCTCGATGATCATGTGATTACATTTTGGGCATTTGGCAATTGGTTCATATTTATGACTATGGTTGCAGCATCTCATGGTCACATGATCACAATTTGCTACATTTTTTTTGCCATTTTCTAGCCAAAAAAAAAAGCCCATTTGGGAGAATGGATCCACTTAGCTATGTGATTTATTTAATGACTGTGATGGTTCACTGTATGACCATCATAAATATTTCTAACTTTCTTTTTTTCCTTTCTTAGGATCCAGGTGAATGACCTTATCGTTGAGGTGGATGGTACCAGTTTGGTGGGCGTGACTCAAAGCTTTGCAGCCTCTGTGTTGAGGAATACCAAGGGTAGAGTCCGGTAGGGGAACAATGTGCAGCCTAGTTTTCTGGTGGGACCAGAATATATAACTAGTTTATCTGTGTAAAAATACAGAAAAGGAAAAGTATGATCTCACTGAGAGTTGCACTGCAGCATAGGAAAAAGTTCTATAAGCAGTTATTTTTGTTTCCTGTGAAACCATTGTAGGAGTAAGAGGGCCACTGATAGGTTTTCCTGCCAGCCGTAGTTTTGCTTCTTTGGTTTATATGTCAAGCAGATAGATAATATTGACTTAGCAAATTTATTACATCATGGGGCAGCCAAGAGGCTGTAGTCTTAATGGTTTTAAACAATACATTTGGTTTTCATTTGCTATCAATAGAACCTTTATTTGCAAATCAAGAACAATGGAAACAAAAAGGAATTCACATGAAAAACAGCATGAATCAGATGAGGATAAAGATTCCCTTTATTGCAGTATTTTTACTGATCAGACAAAAGAGATAAAAGAAGTTGGATGATTATATGTGTTTGTGGCAGAGTTTATATCTTTCATTCTGACAGGACATAAAGATTTTTAGCTACTTTCTATCAGACACAAATTCAACTATTGGATGTGCAGTGGTAGAAGCTCACTTACTGAATTAACCTTTTTTTAAGACACAAGCATTTTTATTGCAGTGCTTTGAAATAGTAACAAAAGTACTAAGGCTGAAGATGCAGATGAAGGTTAGTAAGTGGAATCCTTCTCCATCATTGAAATCAAGTGCTGAATATCTGCCTCTTACCCCTAATTGAAGGCCAACATTATATACATCAAGTTATATTACAGTACTACATTGCGTATATTATATTATGGTATTACATGTTACAATAAATTCTCAACGGGTGTTTGAATTTGATAGCATTGCTTAAGTACAGTCCTGGTCAGATGCATTTTTAAAATATAACTCTTTTTGAGTAAGGGAACATGGCAACTTTTTAATTTCTGTGTTCTTCCCTGCCTACACTCCACTGTGGTTACTTACCCTTTTCTTCTTTAAAACCTACAGTCCATTTGAAAAAGCAAAAAAGCAAATGGGAGAAATAGAGTGTGCTGATGTTGCTGGATTTTAGAGCATTGGCAAAAGAGGAAAAATCATCTCATCTCCACCAGATTAATGATGATGAAGTTTGTGGATTTCTATTGTGTGTGTGTGTGTGTTTGTGTGCGTGCACACACACACACACATTCTCTGCATAAGATATATAGATATAAATATGCAGAGGATCCGAAGAATTGTGATCAGAACTGGAAGTGAAAATTAGGTGGAAGTTTTAGATTTTGTTTTTAAAAATACCTCTTTAAAGAAAATGGTTTATGAAACAGACATTTTGTTTAATGAAATTGGCAACAACCCTTACTTGGCAATGTTGCCCTGTTGGGATTGGGTCCATTTTATAGAAACTGAGGCACAACACCCGTTATCTCAGAATATGTATCTTTGCATCATAGAGAAGTGTTCCATGTCAGAGCTATTTCATTTTCTAAGAAATGAATCAAGAAGTTTGAATGGACTCGGAGGGGGGAAGTGATATTGAGCTTTGGGTTCACTGCATTTTCCTGTCAGCTGTGTTTCTATTTGTCCTTTATCCATACAGCTCCCTCTGTGGCCTTTTAAAAATCTCACCAGAGGCATTTGGCCTGCCTTTTCCTGGCAGTATTAAGAATTCAAAGCTTGGCATTAGCCCGACGTCCTTGTAATGTTGGTTTTAAAAGAATGAGCTGCTTGAAAATGGTCTGTCACCAAACACATCGAGCACAAACAGACACAGATTATGAGTAATTACAGAAGGCACTTTCTATCAGAAGATCTGTACAATATAAGGACTCAGATCTAGAACTCAGTCCATTACTCTGAGACTTACGTGCTGCTCTATTCCCAAGCGACAGGAACTTCAACTATGAGAATGTGTTGCTAGGCAACTAGTTTCTTCCATATTTCATAGCACTCATTCTGCCTTTGCAGGCAAGAGATTTTAGTAACCAATAAAGTGTTTGATGACCAATTTAATTGTTGAATATACGCAATTTAGCCACGATTTTCTCTGGGGTTTTTTTATATTACATTGTTTCACAAAAGTGCCAATTTCTGCCTAGATGTTAATTTGTGAAAGTAGAACGGTGGAATATTTTATAAATCTGATAGTAATTTCCTGTAATCTGGAAGCTTGATGCAATTATGCTGATGTCTTTATGGAATTGTTCAGAACTTCATCTATGTGTTCAGAGGCATTCAGCTTTATTCTCCCAATTCTGAACCTTGAATAACAGAATAATACAGTTGGAAGGGACCTTGGAGGGTCTTCAGGTCCAACCCCCTGCTCAAGCAGGAAACCCTATAGCATTTCAGACAAATGGTTGTCCAATCTTAAAACCTCCAATGTTAGGGCACACACACCTTCTGGAGGCAAGTCATTCCACTAATTAATTGTCAGAAAATTTCTCCTTAGTTCTAAGTTTGTTTTTTCCTTAATTAGTTTCCACCCATTACTTCTTCTCCTCCCTTCAGGTACTTGGAGAATATGTTGACCCTCTCTTAGCTATTGGAACACTGCTATCATGTCACTACTAGTCTTTCTTTTCATTAAACAATATTCAATCGCTGCAACTGTTCTTTATATGTTTTTGCCTTCAGTCATCTTTGTTACTCTTCTCTGCATTCTTTCTAGAGTCTCAACATCTTTTTTATACCTTGGCAACCAAAACTGGATGCAGTATTCCAAGGATGGTCTTACCTAGCAATTATAAAGTGGTACTAACACTTCATGTTATCTTGATTCTATCCCTCTGTTAATACAACCTAGGACTGTGTTGGCTTTTTTAGCAGCTGCAGCATACTGCAGAGTCATATTTAAGTGATTGTCCACTAGGACTCCAAGATTCCTCTTGCAGTTACTACTATTAAGCCAGGTACTATCTCTTCTATACCTGTGCATTTGGTTTTTTTGTTTGTTTGCTTTTTTTTGCTTAATTTTTTTTCATTAAATTTCATTTTGTTAAATAGGGCTAATGTTCAAATCTGTCACAATCCTTCTGGATCTTGAGCCTATCTTCTGGAGTGTTGACTATTCCTGTCAGCTTGGTGTTGTCTGAAAATTTGATAAGTTTGATAAATCATTGATGAATATATTGAAGAGTACTGGGCCTAAAACAGAACCTTGGGGTACCTCACTACTTACTTCCCTTCATGTAGATGTAGTTCCCTTAAGGACTATACATTGAGTGTGGTTGGTCAGCTAGTTATTAATCCATTTGGTGGTGATGCTGTCTAACCCACATTTTTCTAACTTACCAAGAAGTGGGTTGTGGTCTACTTTGTCAAATGCCTTACTGAAGTCCAAGTAAATTATATTCAAGCATTTCTCTGGTCCACTGATTTTGTCACATTGTCAAAGAATGCAATAAGATTTATCTGGCACTATCTGTTTTTGACAAATCCATATTGGCTTTGTTTTGACTTTGTTCACAGATTAATCACTTGATTATCTTTTTCAGAATCTTCCCAGGTATTGATGTCAGGCTGATAGGTTTGCAGTTTCCTGGGTCCATGTTTTTCTTTTTTTGAAGATGGGAACTATATCAGCCCGTATTAAAAAATCAGCATTAAAGATAGCTGTACTAAACCTAACTCAAATGAAATCTTTCTTTGAACCATATTTATGTTGGAATCTGCCTCCCCTGCCTCTCCCCTATTGGTCAGAAAAAAGAGGCATCTCTATTTTTCTCCAAAATTAATAGAACTGGTACTGGCTATTTAAGGAGGCTTACTAGTAAAGAAGAATGAGAAATTCCTCATCCAGCATACGGTACTAATCTAATTAAGAAAGCTTAGTAGCTGTTCCTTAAGAACTTAAGCAAAATTCTGATCTCATATGCCTGAACATTAAGAAAATTTATTTTGGCTCTGAGAATCCTCTGATGTGGTGTCCATTTAGTACTGTGGTAGATAGTCTATTGGTAATAAGCAGTCTGTACTTAGGATTTTTGTTTTGTTTGCATTCGCTGGGTACCAGCGATCATATCCCCCAAATTTCCACAGCAAACCATCAGAACAGTGGTAGCACAGTTCCACTATTTTCAGCCAGAAGCAAAGGAACACTTATGTCATAAGCTTCAGATAAATTTAACATACCTAAAACAAGCCCCTCCTTGAATGATTGTGGGGTAGGGAGGCTCCAAGCCTGACCCCACACATTCCAGTGAATTTCCTGTTTTCACATGAGTTAATATTTAAAAAGAGACTTTTTTCAGACTGAAATTAGCTTGCCCAATTCTTGATGTAAACCGTTTCAGCGTTACCTTAGTGTGAAAACAGGAAATGTAATTTTCTTGAATGTACTGCTTCCTGTATTCCAAAGAATTATTTGAACTGGTCATCAGTTCTGTACTACCATTGTGAGCCGTTCGGATTGTATCTATTATGGTCTTTTGTTGCAAAGAAAAAAAAATACAACTCAAGTCACTAAAAAGTTAATTTCCCCTGAATTAGTAGGAGAAAGTAGTGTTGGTGTGTGTTAGTCTTTACTGCTTGTCACTTGCTGTGGTTGAAGAGTAGAAATAAACAGATCTGTGCATATTTATTCAAGAGCTAGAATACTTTTCACTCTGTTGTAGATAGATATAGAGATATAACCTGACTACCCAACTCGTTATTCGACCATATCAAGATTTCCCTTATTACATTAATGCCATGCATTCATTCTATTCACTTTAATTTCCTTTAGGTTCCTTATTGGCAGGGAGAAGCCAGGAGAGCAGAGTGAAGTGGCGCAACTGATCCAGCAGACTCTGGAACAGGAACGATGGCAGCGAGAAATGATGGAACAGAGATATACCCAATATACAGAGGAGGATGAAGAAGTAAGTACAATCTATTTCTCTTTGCCTTTGGGGAGAGAGGAACGTAGCAGAACTACAACCTTAAATTCAGGGAAGCTAAACAGCTGTTAACATTTGTGAAGACCATTTTAGCTACTGTAATGAAACTATGCTTTGACTAAATTTGGAGTACTCATGAATTTCCTTAAGCTCCCAATTTTTTCTATATAACTGGTGGAGGTCTGGTCTCTTCTTGATATCCTTCTCTGTGCTGCTTATTACTATATTAGCACCTCACAATGAATCTGTAGCTATTCAAAACATTTAAACATGTTAATGATAAAGTTTCTGTATTTTGCTTCATAATGATATAGGCACAGAAAGAGCAGAAACAAACTGAATGTCCTAGTTTCATATGAGATATCATTTGAAAAGAGACATATAAGGAAGAGATATACAAATTTTATTTTGAAATTAGCTTGCTCATTTCTTGATGCAAATCATTCCAGCTTTATCCTGCTTGAAATGAGGAAGTGTATTTTTTTTTAACTTACTACTTAGTTCCTGAATTCTAAGGAATTATTTAAAGTAGTCTTAGTTCTGTACTTAGTGTGCTGTTAGGATGAACATCAGACTCTCTAATGATAAAACTTGTTTTTGTTATTTGCAGACAGGGGAATATGCTACAGATGAAGATGAAGAGATGAGCCCCATGTTCCCTAACAATGAGATGGCTATTGAGGTTTTTGAATTGGCTGAAAATGAAGACATGCTGTCTCCAGTGGAGATGGATCCTGAAAAGCTAGTGCATAAATTTAAGGAGGTATATGGCTTCCTAAAGTGGAGGATGGGTGGGAAGGAAACTGAAACTTACAACTTATGTTAAATGTGTGCATAACAGCATTACCACTAACTCTGGATTTAAAAATAAAACTTGTTGAGGGGTAGCTGGATGGGAAAGAAGAGGGGGACTTAGATTTCATTGCAATGAATATTAGCAGCAATTTGGTAATACACAGTAGTGAAACCAGTTGCACTTCCTCCCTTCTTGCTATGATTAGAGAAACAAGGTAATCCACAGTTGTTCATACTTAGATCAGTTAGGTTAATTAGTTCAGAAAAATATTTTATTGACTCTAAAATATATTTTGACTTAAGCCAGTAATACGTTTTTCCCAAAATTAAATTTTTTTTGTAAGTACAAAATTTACCCCCCCCCCCAAAAAAGTAATATTGAATTTTAAATGATCACCCATTCACTTAAAAGCAAGACTAAGACTAGATTAATCAGCCTCTATTATAGTATTCTCAGGGAAGTTTTTATTTTTTTATTTATCGTATTTTGGAACTGCCCAGCTTCCTCACAGAGGGATTCTCGATGGTCTACATTAAAATATTAAAACACAGAAACAATATATAAAAGTTAAAAAGACAGAACATAAAAACAATGTTAAAAATTAATTAAAAGCTGATGGGAGGGCTTTCAGGGTGCTAACCAGTCCCACAGTTGCGTGCTCCTCCTCTGCGCTCTCCAAGCAAGGCCACAGAACATGTTTCTACCCCTCTCTGGGTGGTCAGGAGAATGGGGTTTGCCTCACCTCTTGGGGGGCGGGAGAACATTCCACAATGGCAGACAAGGCTTTCTTTCTGGACTTACCAGTCATAATTCTTTAACTGGCAGGGTCCACAATATACCTCCCTGCCTGACCAGGTGGGATTGGCCAATGTAATGGGACAAAGACAGTTCCATAGGTAGTCTTATATTAAGGCATTCCTCCTAGTTAAATATTATACTATTACTGGGTGGGAGGGGGAATTAATTTTACCTATGAGTATATATAGTATTTCTGTAAACTGCTTCTTATAAGAGGAATGCCTCATAAAAGATGAAACACTTCCTTTCTTTAATATTTATTATTTAATTGCTGCTTGTTTTATAAAGAGATAGCCTGTATCATTCATAAAACAGTCTCTGCCCTCAGGTTGGCTTCCTGAAAGACAAAACAGAAAAGGAAAATGGATTGGATGGAAGAAAAAAAATAGCTTGTTAAAGACAACATTACTTAAGAAAGGGGGCTTAAAAAACCTTTATGCCCAGCAGTTCTAATGTAACCACTGGCCTTTTTAGCTTTTTAGCTGCTATTTCTAACTGTATAAATCAACCTTTTCCAACCTTTGGTGCTCACCAAAATGCTATATTGTGAAGTTGGGGATGAATGCCCAACACACCTGGAATGCACTAGGCTAGGAAAGCCTGTCAAAACAACCTTTGAATGTCTTTCACTTCTTCTGTAAAACAGCCTTAAATTTGGATTCTGAAGTAAGATTCTGCATATTTCTATTAGGATTACCTGATTCTCAGGATGGCATGGGTGAAAGGAAAGAGTTGTTTTCTTAAGGTTTTGAATTTTTCAGTACTTCAAAACGAATGATAGCATATTACAGCAAACAAGCTGTAATATCAGAAGCAAGCATGTGAAGAAGGAAAAGATAATGTAAACATTGTTGATAGTGAGACATGAGATGAGAAGTAAGTAATCTAGTAGAATTAGGGTAATTTAAATCATGGCATATAACTGCCTGATTTAGTGCAGGAGCCTAAATTGTCTATAACAGACTGCTGCCTAGCTTCCATATGAAACATACCCATAAATGTGTTTTTATTATTAAGACATTCTGCTAGCATTTAATCAGAATCTGACTTTCTATAACTTAATCTGACCTTCTGTACCTTAACTCTATAATTCTAAGTTCTGTATTCTGAAGCAAAAAATAACATGATGGTTTCATGTGTGACATTCTTTCAGGTATTTGAGCAATTCTATTGCATATCTCTCTCAATCATCTTTTGAATTTGTCTTTGTAATTTTTTATCTTCTAATCATCCTTGTGGTTTTCTGATTTTTCTGAGTATTTCCTAAACTATGATGTTCCAAACAGGACTAATACTTAAGGTCAGATATGACCAATGCAAAGCATAGTGGACCAAATATTTCTTATGATTTGGAAAATTTACTTCCAATGCATTTTAGAATTGCATTGGGGGGTTTTTTCAGCCATTTTTTTCCAGCCACTGCAGATTCATACTCAGTTTACAACCAATTATATTCCAGTATCTTTTTCACAAGTACTAAGCCAGGTATCCCTCTTTATATGCCTTGCACTTAAGATCTGAATCTATTAAATTTAACATTGTTATTTTGAACCTTTTTCTCTAATCTGTAAATAATTGTTTTCAATTGTATTTCTTTTTACACAGTATATTTTTTCTCACCCAGTTTTTGTCATTTGTACATCTAATATGGAGATTCTTTGCTAAAGGAGAATTTTCCTGTAATATGTTTTATTTATTTATTTATTCATCGTATCTTTTCAGTATTCCTACCATCTTCTCATCCAAGTCATTAATAAAAGTATTAGAGAATTCAGGATTATCCTCTAATACTTCTCTCCAATTCAATGCAGAATCTTCATTGAATATGATTTCCAAGTCAACAGTATATCACTTTCTTGATATACCTATTTCTTAATCAGCATGTCTCTGCTGAAGTTAAAATAGGTTATGTCTATAGCATTTTCAAAATCTATTAAGGAAATTGCCCAATTAAAAAGGAGATAAGACTAGTAATGAGAAATCTGTTCTTAACACATCTGTGCTGATTTCTACTAATCATCACATTGTATTTAAAACACCTACCTCTTTATTTATGGTGTACTGTAAACTCTTCCCAGGCATCAGTATTAGACAGATTGGCTGTAGTTCCCTGCATCATTATTTTCTCTTTTTATGAAGACAAGGACAGTATTTGCCCTTTTCCTATCTTCTAGTACTTTACCAGTTCTTCAGGATTTCTTTAAGATAACTAATCAAGTGGCTCATCAGGAAATTATTACATTGGCTTAAGATACGATTAATTTGGCCCTTGTTGAATTTCAAGGAATAGATTCCTCTTTGACCCTGTTCCCATTTGTACCCACCCACAGCCTGAACATTTCCTGTCAGCAACTTTTTTTCTTCATATAATTTTGTTCATTTGGTTTCCAGTCCAAAATGGGTCAGTCTTAAGTTGTTCTTAGTTATATAGGTAGAACTCAAATTATGAACAAATTATGATTGTTTAACAATCATTCAGAGTTACAACAGAATTTATAAAGGTTATTTACAATGCATTCTCTTACAACTGCCACACCATCCCTGCTATCTTATGATCGCATTTCAGCACTTGGGATCAGACTTGATTGCACTGAGCAATTTTTCTACATTTTCCAATAAAAAAACCCCTGCAAAAACATCCACTGGATAAGTTGGATTTGGATTTATGAATACATGATTCACTTAATGAAAATTGTAAAAACAGTCATAAAATCAAATTTAGTCATTGACTTGATTTACACCACGATGAATCACGACCAAAATTCCAGGTTCAATTGGGGTTGCATTTTTCCTTCTTAACCTGTTGTATTTTGCTACCCATTGCACTGAATATATCGGGATCAATAGTGGATAGGATCTGAGAAGCATTTATACTCCATATCAGGCTGGTATCAGCATACCCAATAATATCTCACCCCTGATCAACCCATCTTCTGCCATTCTTCTCTTCTTTCCTGGGCGAAGCAGCACTGTGCCTCTGGTCCTTCAGATTTGTGCAGGAGCAGTAGAGCTGAAATTGTGTAGGGATTTTCTTTTGTGTGCCTCTGGCACACTTTCTCTTGCAACCTGCAGATTGTTTCCAATCATGATTACCTATCTGCTTATGTGAGACAATCAGGCATGTAGATGTCACCAGTGTATAAAGATGGAAATCGGCAGCTGGATAATGTAAACAGCTGTCTGTCAGAATTGTACAATAACACTAGAAAACTCAACCAGCAGTGCCATAAGTGGTTTAACTCTGTGATTCTTAATGATTTAGTGTGATGCTGAAATAGCATAACACCCACCTCTGTTGCTGCTTCCACAGAACATGACAGCATTTGGAAGCTGAAAATTTGTTACCTTTATAAAGGAAGAGAAAGTGCTACCTTGTGATTCAGCTTTCTTCATGACTGATCTGTTGTTGTTAAATCCAGTTTGAATTTAACTCAGATTATGGCAGAAGATGGTAGAAGAAGAGGAACAAAAGAAAGAGCCTACTGATGAGAGATAGAATCCTGTAGATAGACAACCTCCATTTCTGCTGAAGTATTCTGATTGGCAGACAGTTTTGTTTTTTTCTGCTAGTTGGTAAAATGCAAAGGGGCAGCAAAATAAATAGCTGAGAGGAGAGGTCAGAATAGAACTACTAGTGACATGGTAGAGTCATAGTAGTAGTCATAACCTTCTTTTGGGAGTGAATGGTTTTGAAGTATAGAATATAACGCTTTGGAAGGCTTTTACTTTCTCCTTTCTTAGTTCCACTCTTCAGAGAGCAGGACAGCTGGGGTCTTTGGTTGTTTTCTTGCAGATGTTTTATTGCCCAGCCTGTAACATCTTTAGTGCTAGCAACTAAGTTCAGAAAGCAACAAGGAGTCCAACTCTGAGCTACAATATTCTTTACAGTTGGTACTGGGACATCTGAATCAGTGCTGCAGTCCTAATAAAACTATATTTTCTTCATCTCTGCAATGACCAAGAACCGTGCATTTTAGATTAGTCCATTCAAGATGACTTCAGTCATACATCTTGCAAATGATAGTGAATAAACAGTAGAAATTGGGGATGAGTCATAACAACATTTGCACAGCTCGCATTGCTGCTTCAAATACTGTTCCTGGCATTCTTTGTGCACAAAATGGCTGTGTACCCTTTTATGAATACTTAGCTCTGGTATGCAGATCTGGCGCATCCATATCTATCCTCTTTTTCCCTCAACTATAGAAAGGTACTATGAAGTGCTGCAGATGGTTAACTCTCAAGTCCAAGTATCTGCAGTGTATGAATGGTAATTAAAAAAGAGAAGGATTTGGAAATGATAGGTTGGAAAACATTAAATGTTTAATGTTTCATTGCTCCACCAGTAATGTGTGAAGTGGTCCCTCATCAACCCTAGAATGTGTGTCAGCAAGTTTTTGTTTAAGCAATCCAGTCAAGGCTGTTCAGGGTTGATTTACTGTCATGGTGAAAGACAGGAGAGTGCATGTAAATAATTGTTACAGCAATGCTAAATTGGAGTCTTAAGAAGACCCAGAGGATACAGGAGGAGGACAGGATTCTCTGCTCTGATTTTAGAGTGTTGAGAAAGCCCAAGGCTGAGCCCACATCTGCCCTGGGGTGCCCACCTGTTTGTTCTAAGGAAGGTTAAAAGACTATTCCAGTAAATGCACAGATAGTACTGCATATCTTGCTTGCTCAGTTTTCCCTTTTTAACTGTGAGGTGCTGGTGACTTTAGCAGAGGGCACAGGGATGGCACTTTTAATTCTTGATAAAAGTATGCAAACATGTGTGCCTGTGTCTGTGTTGAAAAAGATCTTGGCATGCAAATATTGCTGTGATGCAAGTTACTTGGATAAAACACGCCTGAAATTCTGCAGAAGGCAGTGATTGTTTTATTGTATTTAATTTTAGTCCCTGTAGAATGTTGACAGAAGTCAAATAAAAAGTATCTTGTGCAGAGAAGGAATAATAAGTAGACCAAGATGGAAAAGGGCATGATTTGATTATATTTTAAAATATTTAAAAAGAGAAACATCCTGGCAATGCTTACACAACTAATTCTGTTCTTCCTGGTCATTTTCATAGCACTTAGTTTTATTAACAACACATCAGAAATATCCAAATGAAATGAAAGTTGACCTCCTAATTTTTTTATTTATCTTTAGAAAATGTTTTGCCTAATTTTTATTGTTTAATAAAATAAATCCTAAAGCAAGCCCTTTCGCTCTGAAATGAGCTGTGGGGCTTCTTGTTTTATGCATGAAAACCAGGGAAGGAGTTAAGCTCACTATGTCTTCCTTTGGCAGCTCCAGATCAAGCATGCTGTGACTGAAGCTGAAATACAGCAGCTGAAAAGAAAGGTAAGAATCAAGGCTGTGAGGACAGCCATAAAATCCTTTGCTTCTCTTGGAGACTTGCCAGAATCCATTCTTGAGAATGTTTTCCAGAAAAGCTGCAAGAACTGGCTCTATGGATGTACCTTATAATAGTTGGACTATTTTTAATAGTGCTGTGCAAAGCATTTGAAATGGGGTGGGCAGAAGAACAAATGAAGGACTTCTCTTTGAATTTTCAAAGCAGCCAACTGGGAGGACATAGGCATGATCTATATTTAGCTTTTGCTCACTGAGTATGGGAGTTTTTGTAAAGTTAAAATGGAATGACTCGGATATAAGTATGTAAAATGCCACCATGACAATTGTATGAATTCAGTACAATTCTTTCATGGATAATTTTATTGTCTTCATTGTTTTGACTTTCCATCTGAACTGCTAGGGTGCTACCAGTTGGAAGCTCTGTCTTGTTATGCCTCCCTTCCTTGTTTCCCACGTCTAGATCTTTTGTCAAAAGTTGGCAGGCATCTCCTACTTTATTGCTTGAACATTCCTTCTGGCCCATCTGAACTTTGATTGGAATATGTTACGTGCTTTTTCCTTTGCTCTTACTATCTTTGAGATGAGCTATTTCAAAAAAAAATGGTTTCTAAAATATAGCTACCATGGCAATAAATCATTGCATTTTTTTTTTCTTTCCATAACAAGAGTTCTGTTGTGTAAGTTGCTAGCCAGTTATAACTTCCTTCACACTGTTTTAAGCTGTAAGACTCTTAAGTCAGCTGGTTTGGTATTAAAAAGAGCTGAAGCAAGAATAATCCAGCCTGCAATATACTGTCTACAGCTATTTCAAGTCGTGCTTAGAGTACTAATTTTCCCCTTTCCAATAAAACTAACACCTGTCCATTATCATCCATGTCTGAAAGAAATGTTGCATCTTTTGTATGAGGTTGCTTATGAAGGAAAGTAAGCATAGCACAACATATTTCAACCTAATGTTTTTCAGTTGTTTTTAATTGCAATTTCTACAAACCCCTACCATTTGCCATGATGGCAGATGGACAGAATTTAGAAAAAAAAGGAGAGCATCAGATTCCAGTTGTCTATTCCTGTTCCATCCTGCCCTACATTACTATTGGGTGTAAATTTGTAAATTTATGTCACTCTGGATTATATTAACCTATCAAGATATGTTTAGATTTCAAATACAGTTGCTGGCTTTGCAAACAATATGAATTTCTAAAGCTTTCATTCCAGTGTAAAGATATGGAGCTATGGGTGCCTTATGAATAGTTGTTTGATACGTTCTTGGTTTTTGTTGGTTTTGTTTGTCTGGCCTTGATTTCATTAAGATAATTATTTGTTTAGTTATTTATTTTATCCAACACTAAGTGAAATGCATGCAATGCAAGTGTAATTAACTTATCCATTAACACATAACTATTTCCTCTAACATTCTCTATCTTCAGCTACAATCAATTGAACAGGAGAAAGCTCGCTGGCGCATTGAGAAAGCCCAGCTGGAACAGAGCGTAGAAGAAAACAAGGAGCGGATGGAGAAGCTGGAGGGATATTGGATGGAGGCTCAGAACTTGTGCCAGGCTGTGGATGAGCACTTAAAAGAGACCCAGGCCCAGTACCAGACTCTGGAAAGGAAATACAGCAAAGCTAAGCGACTTATTAAGGAGTATCAACAGAAGTAAGAACTGGAATGCCAGATCACTTCATAATTCTCAACCTCCATCTCTTCAGCTCCCGTTTTATCATGCTTACAAAGCCATTTCCCAAAGCTAGAGTCCTTGGATTAGCACTACATCGTTCAGTGGGATTGGTAGGCACATGGAACAGTTACTGAGAATGGGTAGCATGCCTGATCAAGCCACCTATCAAAATAAACATAACTCCAATTGGTTTCTTAAAACATCTTTAGTAGTTGTAATATAATTTTTAAAAATCAAGCTGATAAAGGATATGAGACAGATAGGAAAAGTAACTAAGCAAAATAACCCTTCCTTCCTTCCTTCCTTCCTTCATTCATTCATTCATTACTTACTTATATGTTATATATGAACCATTTCACAGTTTGGGGATTGGTAGTGAGTGGCTTTTCACAGAATATTTGCATTGTAGGCAGAAACTATAGTCTGATTTATATAAGTGGGATGGAATTTGGAGATGAATGAAAAGGCTGGTCCATTTCAATAGGTATGAAGGAATTCTATCTATTTATCTATCTACCTACCTACCTACCTACCTACCTACCTACCTACCTACCTACCTACCTCTAGTTTCTTGCAAATAACACAAATAATGCAAGAGAGAAAAAGATACTACTGTTTTTTTCCCAATATATGAATTTTGAAGCATGTTTCACTTATGGTAAAAGATTTTTGACACAGAGAAAGCATTTAAAATGAAAGTGTCTGTTCTGTTGGGTGTATTGAATATACTGATTAGATTTCTTTAAAAGTAGAACATTCCTCTGAGTTAGAGGATTCCAGAATCAAGCATACTTCCATGAAATATTTGGGTGCAGTTTGCACAACTCTTGCTGAAGTTGCTACTAAATTGCCGTTTTGCTTAACAAAAGGGAAAATTATTATTTAAATAGAGAAAATATTTAATTAATTTAAAATTTAATTTTATACTAAATAAAATTTACTTTTTCCATTGGGCCTACTTACCTTTTTGTACTTTCTTTTAGCTTACCAACATGTCATTCAAATGCAAATGTCATTTTTCTGCCTAAAAGAAGTTATGATCCTATGCTGACATGATGCATCCTTTTTCACCATTGGGTAGTGTCTGAATTTCTGACTTCGGTTTTTAACCCCCACCTCCTTTCTCCACCTGCAGAGAAATTGAGTTCCTCAAGAAAGAGACAGCTCAGCGTCGCATCCAAGAGGAGTCTGAATTGTCTCACAAGGAGGAAGTTGACAAGCTGCAAGAGAAGGTGGGCATCAAGGACAGTGCTGGGGGCTTACTGTAAGCCCAAAAGGAAGGAGAAAGAAAGGGATGGAGACGCATGAGAGAACGCTTGCTGTTGGAAGGACATAGCTGTAAATATGAGTACTTGTCAAAAGGCTGACAAATGGGGGAGGAAGAGGGGGGCATGCCAACCTTTCTGAACTCCTTTATTGCTGGGCATGAATGTTTTGATCTTATAGGATTTCACCTGAAGCAATCAATCATTAGTTAAGCATAGATCCTGCAGCTGGGAGGAGAGGGGAAGATCTTGAATCCTTCCAGCTGATTGATAATTGTATCTCATGCCTTTTTCACACAGAATCCTATATTTGCATAGTGGAAATCCTTTAACTGTATCTTTCTGAAGCTTCCACCAGAGAACATTTCCATCAGCTATTTAAATCTATTGTTCTTCCCCAGGTCCTGCAATCTGAGAAACCTATCTGATTTTACATCAGCCTATCAGATTCCATATAGATCTCTAGGATTCAGTCTTAATTTAGGAATTGTCTTTCTTCATATACATTTGCTCTGAGTGGGAATTACATACCAGGCTTCACTGACTCTGCAACAGAACTCATGGTCAAATCTATATATGATTTTCTTACTGGGCCATGGGGAGTCTGCCACATCTTGGTTCTTGCATCAGGCAGTATGACCATATCAGATTTGTCAGGGTGTTTTTATGCTTCTATATGTTAAATGTTGGTGCACATGCATGCACATTTGTGTGTGTGACTGGCTCTGAGTTTCTGTGATAGGAATGCCTGATATGGGAGCAAAATCAAAGTGAAAACCTTTTCTGTGAGAATCCTGAAAGCTCTAATGGCTATTTATTCACTAGCTCCCTCTGCAGTGCATTCTTAGAAATTCAGCCCCTAAAAACTAACCATTTATGTCTTTTTAAACTGGTCTTCCCTCTTATTCACTATCCTAACTCTGATCATGGAAATAGATTATTAGTTATAAATGAAAAGAGCAAAGTTCACAGGTATAAAAGCAGAAGTTAGCAGAGGTCAGCATTACTTTATTTGAAGGAATTAAACCTTAGTTTTACATAGATTCATGCAATATTTTTATTCCTGGGCTGCCAGATGGAAAAATAACAGAATTGGGGAACATTTGCTATGATTATGGTGGCTGGACAAAGTAAGAGTATGACCTTGGGATAGGCTAGGCAAGAATACAAGCTGGTATATCCCAGAGAGAGTTATGATGCGCAAAATAATGATCTGGTCTGGAAGTGTACCTGTGTGAGGTAGTGATTGATTACAGAAATGCTAGAAATGAGCTGCTTCAATCTAGATTGTAGATGATAGGTTCTTTTTTTAAATTCCTGTTTTCTGCTGCGATATTCAGACCTAGGGTTTAGATAAATCATAGATTTATGGGCAGAGAGGACTAGTTATGCTTAGTTGTGTTAGATCTTCCTTCTTTTACAAAATCTACTTGAGAGTACACTCTCTGACCATTTTTGAAATCTCAACAGTCTAACTTTTATTTAACAAATTTAAGCATTACAGATCATTATTATGAAAAGTACAAGATTGCACTATAATTCCATTCCTTTTTTAAGGAGTTTAACCTTTATTCAAGCCACAAAGTCAAGCGTTTAGCTCTGTTTTCCCAGTGATTGCTCCCATGATGTTCTCTTTTCTCCCAAACAGTTCTTTCATCATCATCGCTCCATTGATTTCTCCTTGACCTGCTCCCGATGTATGTTGCTGATCAACATTTTTTTTCTCGCCTTCTCTGTTTTGGCACAGCCTCTAATTGTTCACAAGGTTTCTAAAACAAGTACCTTGATGGACAGTGCTGATGGAATTGGGCAGCCTATAAATAAATAAAGGACACGGTGGCAGAAGTTTTGGGACAAGTGTTAGAAAGGAAGGATAGCCAAAATTGAGTTTCCAAAGATGTTGAATCTGTTTACCCACTGCAGTAATGTTTCTAAGACAATAGCTTTGTGATTGTCAAGTCCAAGCTTGACTTTGTGACGTTGTCTTTCATTGGCATGCAAAAAATCAAGGATTATAGGCGTAGTCCATAGGTTCCCTACTACTTAAGCTTTAATTGAAATAGTTGTTCATTTATTCCAGAAGAAGCAAACCATGGTTCATAAAATGTACACATACCCTAAGCCCCATTTTTGAGGCTCTTCAGAGCCTTTCTCCAGGACTGTGATATTTGGCAGCAAGGTTGCATTTTTTTCCTTTGTTAATTAGGAATAGCTTTAAACCAGATTCTGTATTTTTTTTTTTAAAAAAAGGACCTCTTTCTTTCTAAGACGAGAAAAAAAATTTTTTTTGAGCCCATTGCCTTTATAGGTACCTCCATTTTTTTTATCAACTGAAGTTTTTCATAATCTTCAGAGTAGTCTTACTGCATTGTAGTAATCTAAATACAATATAATTGAAGCACTGGTAAATGTTGCCAAATTACACCAATTGAGGAAAGTTTGTTTCTAATGCAAAAACATAGTTGTGTAAATGTGTTGCTTGTCATCTTTATTGCCTAAAGATCTATGGTTACCATTGAATCAGCTAGATGGCCAAGCCACAGATCTTTTGTGGATGTAGATAGTACAGCCACTTCTTTTAATAGATAGAATTCCTATCCCCAAGTGTGGCCCCCATATACAAGTAATCCATTATTATTGTCAAGGATTTACATACATCCCCTCGCATATAACAGTGAATGACCTGAAAGCATAATTGAACTATTATGGGAGGTAAGTCTATTTTTTTATTTTAGTAGGGGCTCATTTCTTCTCTTTCTATTGTTGAATAAGAAACAGAGTCATCTGGAAATATCTATGTCATGTGTATAATATGCAGTCCTGCAATTTTTTCTAATTCATGCTTTCAACCCCAGTCAGCATGTTTAGTAATGAGGAGTATTGGGAAGGTAATTCAACAAACTATAAAGAACTTGATGTATAGCAGTGCAACAGGGAATGAAAATAATATGAAAAGGGATTACAGACCTAAGCCACTTGAAATCTGCAGTAAACGAGGTCTCCTAATTTGTATTTATATACATTTTATCATTATCCTTACTGTCCTTCACTGCCCTTAATTATTTTTTCTCACCATTTTTTCCTTTAGCCATTTCCTATTGTTATCTATGACTCAGAGCCAGCCAGACTATTGGTGTCTCCAGCCACATTATCTGCATTTCTTTCCTAAGTCCTCCTACCTCTTCCCCATCCCAAATACTCCTTACTCTGCCTGGAGAATTTCTCTTTATCCCTTTCTGTTATGTGTTTTTCAGATCTCTGAACTGGAGGCGAAGCTGCAGACTTTGAAAAATTCCAACACGACTTAAAAAAAGAGTGAGAGAGCAGAAAAACATATAAACCAACAGAGAAATTAATTCATCTTATTATTAACTATTATTACTATTATTCGCAAGGGAAATCTTTAGAATTTTCTTCCATCCATGCCCAGTCTTTATTCTTCCTCATCCTATGCCTCGTTCCCTTTATTTTACTGCAGGGAAAATACTGTAAAGCCCAACATGTCAGAAGAACTACTACAACAAAAGTAGTAAATGACCTTGCCGTCTGTTGAGTATGAGGCTGTGAAAGACCAGGTGGGGTGGTGAAATTCTAGATGGACTGCAGAGACACAACCCTCCTATTGATGGTGATGAATCATTGTCAGTTTCTGTGTCCGGTGTGCGTCTTGTGTCAACTGGAGAAACAGACCATGGAGGGCGGGGAGGTGGTCATTGTGTCCAGTGATTTGTGTCTTCTGTCCCATCTGCCTGATGAGAATCTTTATGGATTGGGACTGATGCCCCATGTCTATACATTGACTTGTTGGCTCTTCAGTTGTGCAGGCAACAAACTAGAACATAGAAAAACTCTGCTGGTGACAAATAAGACCAGCGGTTTTCATTTTGCTTCCTGAATCTTAATCCTTCGACATGATTGGGGTGGAGGGTGGGACCCTTGTCTAGCTTTGAGATGGGAAGATTTTTAATTTTCCATCGTTTGGACAACTTGGAATCCATTGTTCTCTTATGTTTTGTGGGTGGGAACTGTATCGGTTTTCTAACGAGTGAGCCAGCAGGAGGTTTTGTTGGCCATGTTTGGGACATCCCTGCTGGCATCTGAAAAAACATCATGATTGACTTTTACATCAGGGAAGAAATATCAGCCAGTTTTTCTTTTCCTCATTACATTTTATTCATATTTTGGAAGATTCCTGGGAATCTACATTCTGGAGACTAACAAACTGGACTCTCCCAAAGGACTTGAGGGTTCAGGCATAATTGCTAAGAGCAAATATATCAAGGCAGCTGTAGCCAGGAAATGAAGCCAGAAACTTTAGGAAAACGTGGAACTGCCATTCTCTATTTGCATCTCCAAAAGCCACCAGTTTGTGTTGGATCCATCTCACCACTGTCAGCATCAGGGTTTGCTGGGGAAATTGGAATCTGGAACTAATTAGGAGCAAAAACGTGAAAACAAAGCCCTGGTGGTCAAAAGCAAAGTGTACAATGAATCTTGTCTTTTTAATTTAATGGTAAGGGTTATTGCCTTTTGTTTTCATTCATTACATCATTCCCAGGTCTGCACAGATCCATTTAGTGCTGGGATTTAGAGTTCCCCTCTCTTGTTGGCATACTGCACTCCCTGGCAGTGATACAATGTCATATGTTGCACATGTTACCCTATCAGTATCTTAACTTCAACACATTTCTTTTCTGAAGGAACAATTAGTGTAGATAGTAACCGCAGAAAGGTCCAAAATGCTATAACACCTTAGCTACCTGGGAGATCTTATGCCACAGAGGTTTTGAGTTACATCAGATGCTGGTGGTGGTTTACAAAAGCTGTCCAAGGTGCCACAGGACTTCAACTTTTTTTGCCTCCTACCCATTTCCCTCTATATAATGAAGCAAAGTGGAATGCTGTAGTTGTTATTCTATGTTCCTGCATGCTTATGAGTCATGAGCTAGGAAATAATATTCCCAAAAGCTATTCATTCAGAATCACAATATTACACCACAGAAAAGAGCATTTCCATGGAATAGCAAGTCCTTACGCCACAAGTCTTGAAATCTGTATTCCATCAGTTTCATGGTCAGTTTATAAGCTACGCAATATTAGTGTGAAGGATCTATGTAACAGAGAGTAATGGCCAATGTTTTATGCAGGGATAATATTAAAAGGGAGTAAGGAAAAAACAAGATATGTTGTGAAGTATAGCATGCGGAAACTCAAGAAGGATCTCCAAAAATGTTTTCTCTGTTAATGGTCTTGGTTCACACAATATACCAAGCCATACTGTAGTTTGTTCGACATTTACCATGTGCAAATCCAGCACAATTGAAGCTTAGTCAATCAACTACAGTAAACCTGCCACAGTGTACATGATGTGAGAAATCAGACGTGTCTATCCTTGTTACTTTCTTAGACAGAATTTTTCTTGTTAGTTATTTAGACCCATTCTTTGCCTGGATTTTAGCTGAATGTTGTATTATTTTAATTTTTAAACATGCACCAATAATCAAGTCCCCATATAAGATCTTGCATATAAAGTAAGCTCATGAAAAACGTGGAAGTTCCTTCTCTTGCTGGTGTTCTCCATCTGTGGAGTTATAATTCGCATGGTTCCAAGCCAGCAGATGAGTATTGTAGTTCTGCACACCCAGAAGATACCAGGTTGGCAAAACTTACAGAAACAACTGTTTTAGATTGTTTTATCTTCTTGTTTTAAAATATATAATGTAAAAAGGGTGGTTGAAATCAATTTCTCTCATCCAATCATAGCACCACCTATTGCGTGATACCAGGCTCCTGGGGATATTAAGTCTTTTGACAGTATTTTTAATGGCATTGTTAATGTGCACTCAGAATTATTTAATATCTTCTATGAGAAGTAGCAATAGTATATTTTGTAAAGTCGTTGCTGGAAAAGTAACTTTTTTGTCAAAAAGAACAGAGCTATGCCACTTCAAAAGGTTGGAATTAATTATTTTAAAATAGTATTTTGTCAGGAAGAGTCTGGATGGTTTCCTTTAGAATTGTTATGTTCTGGCCCACATGTGCTCATGTACTTTTCATTGTGGGGAAGAAGATCCCAGGATATTTCTTTCCTATAATTTGAGAGAGCTTTTCTTGGATTAATACTGCTATGGAAAAAAGATAGCACTCAGATAGAGACTGAATATCAGGGTCAACATTATAGAAGTTGGTTTATTTTGAAGGATGATAACTTATTTCACTTATTTCTCCAGGACCCACCTAGAAATTTCCAGATCCCATAATGAGGGTGTGTAGTTTATTTGTGATAAAAGTCATTCATTTATCCTTCATAATTTGCAATTCAAAGATTTGATGGGTGAAAACTGTTCACATATGAGTATTCAAGAAGATCACTTCCCAGAATTAGGAACTTTTCATATTTCCGTGATCTATTTATATACTCACATTGCTCAAACGGTGACAATTTGGTGGGTTATTTTCCAAGTTTAATTTATACCTGGACTGGATATTCTATCCACATGCCATGATTTATGAGTAAGGAACTTCAGTGTGACAAATATTTTGGATTCAGTAATCAAAAATTAAAAAGTGAAAGTCCAAGACTTTATCCTAGAAGTGAGGAATTAAAGTATTTGGGAAGGGCACTTCCCTTGGTCCTTTACATTGAAAGGGTCACATTGTAAATGTTCTCACATTTACATATCCTAAAGCTCATTGCTCTTGAAGCTGAAGCCATCATACTGTATGTTCGGGCACATATAACGAGAGTATGCATTTTAGTGCTCTTAAATTGCTCAAAAGGTTATTGCAAGTCTAGTTCAGCCAATTTACAGCCTCAGTCCCCTTTACGTGTTATATTTGTTGCAGCACATTTTCCATCAACTGCTGGGGTGATAAGTTGTCTGATACTTGAAGGATCCAGGTTCGGTAGGAACTTACATGTGTATGATTCAGTGATGTCATTCAAAATAACACGTCGTATACTATGTTCTCTTTATGCATACAGATGGAAGAAGTTGCAGAAATAGCCACAACAGGAGAAATTGTGCCCTTCTCCTAATAACATGGGAATTCCCATACATACAAAATGAAAACCATGGGAAGTAGCTCGAAAAGACTCTCCTTCATCTCCATACTGGATTACAGCAGATTAAGTAGATCTGCATCCAGCAAGATAGTGTAAAAGATACACAAAATGCTCTAACTGGATGAAAGGTGGACAGGGAATTGTAACCTTCTGAAAAGCAGATCAGATTTAAAAGAAAACATCTTAAATTTAATCTCACAAGTATAAATGTATATGTATATAATATATATATATATGTATGTATGTATGTACGTACGTATTGTTCCTGGTTTTGTATTCCAATTGTCCTACCATCTGGTCATATAAATAGCAAGTTTTTGTTTCCAACCCTGTTCAGTTTTTCAAACATTGCAGGGGAGGAACTTGCATGAATGCACTTGGCTGATGTAGCTAAAAATGTTCTTCAAGAAAATCCTTATAGAAGAGCAAGAGGAAATTTTTGTATAGATAGGTGGATAGGATGTAACCCATCAATGAGGATTCAAATATAAAAAATCCTCTTTTCATTGTGATGTTGGCCTTTTTTCTTCTCTTTGTTTCTTGAACAAAAACTATTTAATCCATCACCCAACAAGATAGCCAAGTATGGAAAGTTGGCATGGAATGCACTTTTAGGTATGCAATGTATGCATACAAATGGATGACTGCTCCAGAAATTCATACACTGAGAGATATTAACATGATTTGAAGATGGGATTATATAACTTCCATTAAAGTCCATTAATGCCTTTTATAGACCTCACTTTTGGATTGCAGAAGAAATGAGATATGAAAATATCAAGGCAGATTAATGTTATAAAAGTCAAATGAAAGTAGCAGCTTAGGGAGGAGAGCTGCACTTTCTTTAAAAATTGTTTTGCATCTTGAGAGTCACTGTTGGGACACAGCAGTGATATACAGTGATGTTTCTGAATGATGTGGCATTGGAATGTTCACCCCCTGTAGGGAAATTGGGTGTAAGTTTGTTGTTGCTTTTAAAGCAGAACAGCTTCTTTAAGCCTATCAGATTTCACAAATGGCTATTTACTTTTTTAAATGCAAAAAAACCCAGCAACATTCCATTGTAATTCAACAATTTGCTACAGAAATTTGTCAAAAAGTGCAAATTAAAAAAGTGCAAGCTACATGTGATTTTATGGGCTAGAAATTGCCCATCCTGTGGCACCAGGACAATCTAAGAACAAGTGAAGTCCTCAAAAAAAGGGAGGGTATATTTGATTCAGAATTGAACTGTGTGATTCA